CATACAGCGCTCTACTAGATCTATCAGAGATCTATCACATTCATACACTGATGGGACACACATCAGAGGCAATGAGGGGTTCAGTGTCTTGTCCAGGGACACTTCAGAATGTGACTGCTGGTGGAATCAAACCCCCAAGTCTCGCAGTGGAGGACGACTGCTCTAACCCAACAATTTTCATCCAAGTCATCTGGACGTTTTTTTTTTTTCTGAGACATTTCACCTTCCATCCAGAAGACTTCATCAGTCTGAGGAAACACCAGACAAAGCTGATTCTCCACCAACAGCTTACTCCAAAGTGGAAACTGTCCAGATGACCTGACTGAACATTGTTGGATTTTATACCTGGATAACTGAGCATGGACTTTGGTGTTTTGAACCAGTTTGACATGACTGTCGACGAGGGAGAGGGCGTGCCCCAGAGACCATCTTAGCATCAACATAACTGGTTTGTTCCACTTTGGAGTAAGCTGTTGGTGGAGAATGAGTTTTGTTTGGAGTTTCCTCAGACTGATGAAGTCTTCTGGATGGAAGGTGAAATGTCTCAGCACAAAACATGAAACCGTCCACATGATCTGACTGAACATTGTTGGATTTTATACCTGGATTATTGAGCATGGACTTTAGTGACTGCCACAGCTGCCCCCAAAACTGAAGACACGGGAATGTTGTGGGATGTCTAATTTAATATGCAAAGTAAACAAACATGACTGAACACACGACTGTGACGATTTGACACTTTTTACGACGTGTCAGCAGTTATGAGAAACATGTAGTTATTATTTTTTAAACTAAAGATAAATATTTCTTTGGTGTTTCTTCTCATGACGTTAGTCCAACTGCACATTTAAACATTACATGAACTTCTACAGTCAAACATACAAAGACTATTCAGGACAAAATTAAAAATTTTAGAGAGAAGAGGCATTTAAACATTTCGAAGCAATAATCCACTCATTTGTGACCACTTGACTGGACTCCTGTAACACACTCTATACAGGAATCAGTGACTCTTGTATCTCTCAGCTTCAGAGGGTACAGATGTTGCTGCACAGCTTTGAACTGGCACATGAAACTTTGACCACATTTCCTGTTTTATCCTCTCTGCACTGGCTCACCGTACATTTTAGGGTTCATTTAAAAACAATGGACTTGCCCCACTCTGTCTGTGAGTTGCTACATCCATACACACCCTCCCTCCAGATCCCTCAGGTCATGTGATCAGCTGCTCCTGAGTGTGCCGAAGACAAAGCGTGAGCTCCGAGGAGACCGTGCTTTTTCTGTGGCAGCTCCTAAACTGTGGAACGACCTTCAACGAACATCAGACTCTTCCCTGTCTGTTTTTAAATCCTTTCTTAAAACCATCTCTTCTCGCTGACCTTTGACACCATCTGAGAAGTTGACTTTTAATCATTATAATCATTGTTTGATTGTGTGTACAACTCTTTGGTCCTGTGGGTGTTAAAGTGCTCTTTAAATAAAGTATGGTACCTTCTGAAAATAACTTGTGGGCAGTCTCGTGTGATTTTGCCAGATGTCAGGCTCGTTGTTATAAACTTTCTTTCGGCTGCTCCTTCTTCAGGGGTCACCACAGTGAGCGAACCAGCATGAATGATTTGGCCTTCCTGACACAACCTGGGCTTGAACCTGCAACCTCAGGATTACAGGACCGTGGCACCGACCACCGAGCCACCACAGCCATGCTCAGAGTAACTGTTGATGTCATTTCTCTTCGGCTACAACACATCAAGTTCTCTGAACATCTGTAGAACACACTGCATTTTCATGGTTAATGTAGAGCAACTCTGGCAGCCACCGTGAACTGGATTAACTTCAAAAGTTCATCAGTTGTTGACGTGCATCCAATAATTACTTCCTGAAAGATTCTTTAAAAGTTATCAAGTGGCTCATTAGATATTTTGCTAACAGACACAGGCGTAAACACTATCCCCTGCCTTCGCCCTTCAACAGCAGGTTTTAAAGGAACAGTTCAAGGTTTGTTTACGAGAATATTGTAGGATTTTCTGATATATAATGTTGAATAAAGACAAATATCATTTTTGTTTAAGAAGCAACAATTGTTGCAATGAGGAGTTGTGGACGTGTCACATGACCAAAGAAATGTTAAAACAGTCCGTCCGCACTTTGTTAGTTTGTCGCATTTGAAAGTCAACCTTTAATTTTTGTTTTGTTTGTGCTCACATCTTTAGCTCAGTAAACATAAGAAATCTTCAGACAAAATATTGTCAAGTACCTCGTGCTGGTCCAAGTGGTCATGTGGAAATGAGCCCGTCCGCGTGTGGCAGCTCTCTGGTTCTGCTGAGGGAAGCCCGTCGAGCGCTGGACCCAGGTCAGAGAGGTCTGCTGGGCTCGCTGCTGTCATCTTTACACCTGTGTCCTGTCCTCCGCCGGCGGCTGAGCAGGTGGAGCTGTGACCTGGCAGGTCCCTCAGCTGGACGTAGCGGCCGCAGTCCCCGCAGAGCTCCGTGCGACACCCACAGACCACACTGTGTTCACGCAGGTCCTTCCACGGCACCTCCAGCTCGCAGAACGGACACGTGCGCAGGCGCTCTGCACACTCCTCAGACTGGGCCGCAGAACAGAGAGAGGTCAGCTGGTGTCCAGCAGCCTGGCCACGCCGCTCTGAGCCGCGGCTCCGGTCACAGACAAAGACCGGCTAACGTCACCAACATCAACTGAGACCTTCTCCTTCCTTTGGTGGCCAATGTGTGCCTTTTGACAGCTCTATACTAGATCACAGCTTTATCACATTCAAACAGCTCTATACTAGATCACAGCTTTATCACATTCAAACAGCTCTATACTAGATCAGAGCTTTATCACATTCAAACAGCTCTATACTAGATCACAGCTTTATCACATTCAAACAGCTCTATACTAGATCACAGCTTTATCACATTCAAACAGCTCTATATTAGATCACAGCTTTATCACATTCAAACAGCTCTATACTAGATCACAGCTTTATCACATTCAGACTTCGGCATGTGACGACTGCTCTAACCACTCAGCCACCGCCGCCCTGAAGCCAAAGGTCACCTGGTGTTGAGAACTCATTCAGCTGTGACCATCTGCAGGCAGGCTGCATGTTATATATGTTATATTATGACATGTTGTTTTTCTCACGCATGGCAAACATGCACACAGCACATGCACGGTGCGTTCGGGTGTTCCCAACTGAGTGAGCAGCGGCTGAGCTGTGAGCCTCTCCCACTGCTCAAACCATGCATGTGCACAGCCACCACTGGTCCCAGACTCACCGACAGACCTCCCACAAGGTGCCCCCCCCCCCCCCCACACACACACACACCTCCACCTGTGTATCTAAAATCTAACTGTATTAAACGTTAACGTGTTGGGAGCATCGTCATCGTCGGACACACTTCCACCCTGAGAGTGCGACCAAACGCCTGGTCCTGAAGAGAGCACAGTGTCTGACCCCCGATACAGAAAAACTGGCCTTTTGTTGTGGTCAGCCTAAAAGAGGTTTTATGAAAGTCAATATATTTGTACGCTTGTTAAAACTGTGAATCTTCATTTTAACCACTTCAATCCTAAACCTGAACCTCTCAACAGTTCATTTCTTGACGTTGTGCTGGAGACCTTCAGTGCAGAAAATGTCCCCACAAGCCTCACCTGGTGATCCGATAGGTGACATTGTTCCATCTTCTTGTGGCACTTGGAGCATTTCACCTTCAGACACACAAGGATTGAAGAGCACAGCATGAAGGAGGAGGTTGAATGGCCCTTACATCCAGAGAGTGCAGTCCTGTGACATGCTGGAAAGGTAACGAGTCGTGGTGTGTTGGTGTGCACCTGACTGTGCTGCTCCTCTCTGTGTTGGCTCAGCTGGTCTTGGGGAACCGGTTCATCACAGTCGGGACACACACACAAGAAACGGCTGCAGTGGGTTTCATGCAGAGCGAAGTTGGCCTCTGCAACCTCCTTGTGGCTTAAAGAGAAGATGCACAGCTTACTTTCTGTTCTCTAACAGCCGAAGTGAACTGTGGACTGTCATGCTTGAGCGTGAGCTTCAGCTGGGTGTTCCTCATCACACTGAACGCCACGTCAACAGTAGATCACCAGTACGTATTTAATGGAGCAACAAAGACATGGTAGTAAGATGTGGAGCACGCACTGCTCTGCTTCATGAAGCAGGGTGAGAGTCACATGGACACCATCAGGTGATAATTAAAACATAATGTTTTCATGTCATTTAATATTCTTTATAAAATCTTCACTTGGTCCAAAATGCTGCTGCCAGAGTCTTAACTGGAGTTACTGGGAGAGATCATCTCTCTCCAGTTTTAGTTTCTCTCCATTGGCTCCCTGTCAAATCCAGAACTGAATTCAAAATCTTACTTCTAACCTACAAAGCTCTCAACAACCTAGCTCCATCTTATATTACAGATCTTATTGTTCCATATTTTCCTAACAGAGCACTTCACTCTCAGACTACAGGTTTACTTGTGGTTCCTAGAGATTCCAGCAGCAGAATGGGAGGAAGATCTTTCAGTTCTCAGGCTCCTCTCTTGTAGAACCAACTTCCAGTTTCTGTCCATGAGGCTGACACATTGTCCAGTTTAAAGACTGGGATTAAGAGTTTCCTTTGGAAACCCAACTATAGGATTTATCACAGAGTTATCCCTTAGTTATGTTGCTATAGGCTTAGACTGCTGGAGGACAACCTGGACACATTTCCTCTGTCTGCTGCTGTCTTTACTTACTCTGCTCAACCTGTTTCTATCTAGAATAATTTTTATGTTTATGTTTTTCCTCCTATAGAAAGTACTCGTGGACCTGTCATCCTGTCTGTCTCTACTTCCTGTCCTCTCAAACCAGCTGGTCGAAGCAGGTGACCTCTCATCCTGAGCTGGTTCTGCTGGAGGTTTCTTCCTGTTCAAAGTGAGTTTTTCTTTCCACTGTCTCCTTTGTGCTCGCTCAGGATGAGACTGTGATGAAGTGACGCTTCATCACAACCTGCTGCTTCCTCAGACAGAGAGCTTTTGTTTTTTATATTTTTAAATATGTGAACGTTTCTGTTCAGAGCTCTGACACAACTCCTGTGGGCGCTACATATAATACATATAATAATAATAATTGTTTATTAGTCCCACATACTAAATGCATTTTTCTGTTCATCTATCAAAATGTTTGTTCTGACCAGGAATGTTTTGCTACAACTTAGTTATACTTTTGAAATATTTAACTTTACTAAAACATCCTCATAGAAATACACCGGTATCTTTTCAAAAGATTTATTATTTAAAAATATTGTTCTTTTTAAAATCTGCTTCAACAAACTTGCTTTTGATTTTGTGATCTTGTGCTACATTTTAGCTAACATTAATCTACTTTTAGCTTACAGCTATTATTTTTGCTACTTTAGCAGCCTCAAAGTAGCAGAATATTAGCAGTAGCCTTTTGCTACTTCTATCTTTTAATTAACATTTTGGTAATTTCATCAGGACTTTGCTACTTTCAGCTTTTAGCTAAACTTATTCTACTTTTATTTACTAGCATCTTGCTGCTAGTAACTAGCCTTATGCTACTCTTAGTCTAGCCAGCCTTTTGCTATTTTAGCTTCTACAGTTTTACAATGTTTTGCTACTGTGGGCTTTAGCTGGATTTATAAGTGATAAGTGGAGTTTCAAATTTAAAGTAAATTAACAGAGACATTGACAGAATAATAAAAACAATATAAAAATAAATACATCCTCTCTCCATAAACATATTATTAACCAGGAATTTGATTAACTCTATTTTATACTTTGTTTTCACTGATGTTCACTGAGCAGAGAGAAATATAAAGTGATTCTGTATCAAATTGTAAAATAAACAAACTGTTGTTTTCACCCTAGTCACTCTTTCTGCACCTGTTAACCCTCATTTTTCTTTCTTAACGCAGACTCTTAAAATAAATCTCATTTAAAACATTTAAATCAATCTGTCTTGCAGTATAATCAATTAAATACACTTTAGGTTTTAGTGCTAAGGCGACACTTAACATCCATATTTGTTGTGCCCAACAACGAGTTAATTAAGAAACCAATAACTAAACCTTTACTTTGTACTTTAAATGTAGTTGTTTTCTTTAAATGAGACAGGAGCAGATGATTGTTACCATTTGTCGCAGGTTCGAGTCTCCTCCATGGACTGTTGCTTTGGAGCAGAACAGAAAGTGAAAGTTGTTCTGCTGCAGTTCTCCAGAGCGGCCACAGGGGGCGCTGCGGGGACACACGCTGCACTCAGCAGCTCACACTGATCACACTGACCATCAGTTTCATTTCAATCTTTAGGAATATTTTATATCTCTCAGAGCTGCAGAGGTGGCGAGGACAGGAAACATTTATAATAATGCAAACTTGTTTTGCCTCATGCGTGCACGTGCCTGTCTGTTGTCATGAACTATTTCCAGTCAGTTCTGTTTGAGTGTTACAGTCATTTTAGAACTGGTCAAGATCACGGAAGGTGTTTAATATTCACACCAAGTTAAAACATGTGAAGAAAGCACACAGTCACATTAGGGTGATGAAAGATAAAAAATAAACTAAACTAAAGCTTCTTCCTCCATGTGGAAACACAAACCCTGAATAAAAAAGACGTGAGCACAGTTCAACTCATGAAAACATGAACAAAGTTGTTATAAAGTCAAAGCAGCTTCTTTGTGGAAAATACATTGATTTTTTTGTTTTTTAACAAACTGCACACCCATTTGGTTCAATACTTTAGTAGAGACATTTGTTGCCAAACTCAGATCTCTATTAAAGAAGACGTATTTAATTCTTACTGGTCTGTCTGGATAAACCATCCATCCATCCATTTTCTTCTGCTTATCCGGGGTCGGGTCGCGGGGGTAGCAGCCTAAGTAGGGAGGCCCAGACTTCCCTCTCCCCAGCCACTTGGGCCAGCTCTTCCAGGGGAATCCCGAGGCGTTCCCAGGCCAGCCAAGAAACAGTCCCTCCAGCGTGTCCTGGGTCTTCCTCCGGGCCTCCTTCCGGTGGGACACCAGAAGGAGGCCCAGAGGGAACACACACAGCTCTACACTCTCAGCAGGGTCCTGGAGGGTGCGTGGGAGTTTGCCCAACCGGTCTACATGTGCTTTGTGGACTTGGAGAAGGCGTTCGACCGCGTCCCTCGGGGAACCCTGTGGGGGGTACTCTGGGAGTATGGGGTACTGGGCCCTTTGATACGGGCTGTTAGGTCCCTGTATGACCGGTGTCATACATGTCTTCCGGTGTCTTCCGGTGGGCTGCCATGGGCGACCCTACTAGGGGCGTAAAGCCCCTGACAGCATAGCTCCCAGGATCATTGGGACACTCAAACCCCTCCACCACGGTAAGGTGGCAGCCCAGGGAGGGGCAAAGCAATCTTTAAAGGGACACATGTTTCACACCACAGTTTTTAACTGAGATCATCTCATGATGAGGAATAAGAGAGTTTTGGTCAAACTGCATTAGAAGATGTTTCCCTCAGAGCATGTGTCGTGCATGACTCTCAGCTACTGCATCAACGTTTAGCTCAACATTTGTCAAACTGACTGTATTATTGCCTGTTTGTGTTTTTTGTGGTCAGATGGCTGTGGAGACCATCTTGATTTGGACTGGCTCTTAAAGATAATTAGTTCCTTAAAAGTTCATTAAAGTTTTTCTTGTGGTTCACGAGATATTTTGCTAACAGGCTACCACACATTGCCATAGCTGAAAACATGATAATTAGCATCAGGACCTTGCTTGTTTCCCTGTTTTCTAAAGAAGTTGTGGGAGACATGGAACTAATCTCACTAATTTGTGTCTAGTAATGGGAACACATTAAATATACTTTAGCCAGCTGAAGGAAACTTATTTCCCAGTTAGCCTGGTAAAAAAAAATGTGCTGACAGTAAAAATATTAGTGAGTACTGGAAATACAAATGTTAAGTATATTATGTGTTTGTGTGTTTCATGGATCAACTTATCAAAAAATTAGAGATGCACCGATCCGATATCAATATCGGTATCGGTACCGATATCTGAAAAAAAAAAAAACAACTTCTGGATCGGGTATCGTGACCATAGATATCATATAAACACTAGATGCCTCATCGGCTGCTGCGGCACAGGATTTTCGGCCTCCATCTTGGAGCGGTCGTCCTTATTTGGTTAAAGCAGAAGATGTCTCAGCACTTCGCAGCTTATTTCTGTTCAGATCGACGGACTGTTGACGTCAGGTCTCGGGGGATAACTTTTCACAAGTAAGATGAACATATTGTTGTTAGTATTTTGTGAATTTAATATTACTGTACTGTATTTATGTCCACCAGCTGATGTGATGTTCAGTGTAACACGGTGTTCAGCTGCAATGAAGCTGACTGAGATCTGATGACAGGAATATTTTGCTAACAAGCATACTCACTATCTCACTATATGTCAGTAGCTTTGGTTCATTATCATTATCAACAGATGTGCATCAAAACTGGAGTTTTGTTTAAGTTCTAGGATATAAAAAATTAAACTAGGGAGAATATAGGAAATAGAATATAAGATTGACCTCCTTTGTACAATATCCTGATGCATGCTCAATAATCCAGGTAGAAAAATCCAAAAAAGTTCAATCTGGTCCTCTGGACATTCAATTCAATTCAATTCAATTCAAAAATACTTTATTAATCCCAAAGAGAAATTAAATGTTGCTGTAACTCATTATCCTCATTTCATTAAGAGATGTTATAGATGCTGATGGCTGTAAGCAGGAAGGATCTCTTATAAAGGTCCATCCCACAGTGGATCCAAAGAAAATGGCCACAAATGCCATCCGATCCATCCACCCAGACTTGGTGGGCCTCTCAGTTCCCCCGGGCTGTAGGACTGACCGAATGCTGGGCAGAACTCCTCCCAGAGAAATGGCCACTCCTCTCAGCAGCCTGTCGAGCTCCTCGTCGCTGCGGACAGTCACCTGCAGGCATCAGGGATCGATCCCGCTCCTTCTGCTGTCACGAGCCAAGTTTCCTGCTAGTTCCAGGATCTCAGTGGTCAGGCACTCGAGCACAGCCAGCAGAGAGACGGGAATGCATCCACGGAGCCTCCTTTTCAACTCCTTTGAGATTTGGGGCTGTAGTTGATGTATTATTTGAGCTTTTGAGATGTTAATCAGCTGCTCCCAGTTGTAGAAAAAAAAACACCTTGTTGTTCTGGTTACGCATAATAACAAATGTCCAAAACTAAAAAAGTTTCATTAAAAATCCTTCCAGCTGCACAACATTCTATGCCAGAGCAAAGAGTCATCCAAAAAATGTGATTTACATCCAGCAAAAGAGGAATTAAAAGTTTCCAAAAGCAAAATCTCATAATGAATATAACAGAGCTACTCCAACATGCCCCTCCCTGGGCTGCCACCTTACCGTGGTGGAGGGGTTTGAGTGTCCCAATGATCCTAGGAGCTATGCTGTCAGTGGCTTTACGCCCCTAGTAGGGTCACCCATGGCAGACAGGTCCTAGGTGAGGGACCAGACAAAGTGCAGCCCAAAGACCCCGATGATGAGAAAAACAAATGGACTTAATGTTCCCTTGCCCAGATGTGGGTCACCGGGGCCCCACTCTGGAGCCAGGCCTGGAGGTGGGGCACGCGGGCGAGCTCCTGGTGGCCGGGCTTTTACCCATGGAGCTCGGCCGGGCACAGCCTGAAGAGGAGACATGGGTCCCCCTTCCCATGGTTTCACCACCTGTGGGAGGGGCCAAAGGGGTTGGGTGCAATGTGGGATGGGTGGTGGCCAAGGGCGGGGACCCTGGCGGTCTGATCCTCGGCTACAGAAGCTGGCTATTGGGACGTGGAATGTCACCACACTGGTGGGGAAGGAGCCTGAGCTGGTGTGTGAGGCTGAGAGGTTCCGGCTAGAAATAGTCAGACTCGCGCATGGCTCTGGCTCTGGAACCAGTTTCCTTGAGAGGGGCTGGACACTCTTCCACTCTGGAGTTGCCCCTGGTGAGAGGCGCCAAGCAGGAGTGGGCATACTTATTGCCCCCCAACTTGGTGCCTGTGTGTTGGGGTTCACCCCGGTGAATGAGATGGTGGCCTCCCTCCGCCTACGTGTGGGGGGACGGGTTCTGACTGTCGTTTGTGCTTATGCACCAAACGGCAGTTCAGATTATCCACCCTTTCTGGAGTCCTTGGAGGGGGTACTGGAAAGTGCACCTTCTGGGGACTCCCTTGTTCTGCTGGGGGACTTCAATGCTCATGTGGGCAATGACAGTGAGACCTGGAGGGGTGTGGTTGGGAGGAACGGCCCCCCTGATCTGAACCAGAGTGGTGTTCTGTTGTTGGACTTCTGTGCTCGTCATGGATTGTCAATAACAAACATCTTGTTCAAGCATAAGGGTGTCCATATGTGCTCTTGGCACCAGGACACCCTAGGCCACAGTTCGATGATCCACTTTGTCATCGTCTCATCTGATCTGCGGCCACATGTCTTGGACACTCGGGTGAAGAGAGGGGCAGAGTTGTCCACTGATCACTACCTGGTGGTGAGTTGGCTCCGATGGTGGGGGAGGATGCCTGTCAGACCTGGCAGACCCAAACATATTGTGAGGGTTTGCTGGGAACATCTGGCAGAGTCTCCTGTGAGACGGAGTTTTAACTCCCACCTTCGGGAGAACTTCGAACATGTTCCGGGGGAGGTGGGGGACATTGAGTCTGAGTGGACCATGTTTCGTGCCTCTATTGTTGAGGCGGCTTACCGGCGCTGCGGCCGCAAGGTTGTCGGTGCCTGTCGCGGCGGCAACCCTTGAACCCGATGGTGGACACCGTCGGTGAGGGATGCTGTCAGGCTGAAGAAGGAGTCCTATCGGGCCTTTTTGGCCTGTGGGACCCCGGAAGCAGCTGATGGGTACCGGCAGTCCAAGCGACATGCGGCTCGGGAGGTCGCTGGGGCAAAAACTCGGGCATGGGAGGAGTTCAGAGAGACCATGGTGAATGACTTCTGCACGGCTTCGAGGCGATTCTGGTCCACCATCTGGCGTCTAAGGGGGGGAAAGCGGTATGCCACCAACACTGTTTATAGTGGGAGTGGTGTGCTGCTGACCTCAACTCGGGATGTTGTGGGTCGGTGGGCAGAATACTTTGAAGACCTCCTCAATCCCACCGGCATGTCTTCCACTGAGGAAGCGGAGCCTGGGGACTATGGGTCGGGCTCTCCAATCTCTGGTGCTGAGGTCACCAAGGTGGTTAAAAAGCCCCTCGGTGGCAGGGCCCCAGGGGTGGATGAGATTCGCCTGGAGTACCTTAAGGCTCTGGATGTTGTAGGGTTGTGTTGGCTTACGCGACTTTACAATATTGCGTGGACATCGGGGGAAGTTCCCCTGGATTGGCAGACTGAGGTGGTGGTCCCCCTATTCAAAAAGGGGGACCGTAGAGTGTGTTCAGTGTGTTCCAACTACAGGGGAATCACGCTCTTAAGCCTCCCTGGTAAGGTCTATTCGGGGGTTCTGGAGAGGAGGGTCCGTCGGATAGTCGAACCTCGGATTCAGGAGGAGCAGTGCGGTTTTCGTCCTGGCCGTGGAACACTGGACCAGCTCTACACTCTCAGCAGGGTCCTGGAGGGTGCGTGGGAGTTTGCCCAACCGGTCTACATGTGCTTTGTGGACTTGGAGAAGGCGTTCGACTGCGTCCCTCGGGGAACCCTGTGGGGGGTACTCTGGTGGGAGTATGGGGTACCGGGCCCTTTGATATGGGCTGTTAGGTCCCTGTATGACCGGTGTCAGAGCCTGGTCCGCATCGCCGGCAGTAAGTCGGGCTTGTTCCCGGTGAGAGTTGGACTCAGCCAAGGTTGCCCTTTGTCACCGATTCTGTTCATAACTTTTATGGACTCAGGTGTAAATGAGACCTTGAGTACACAGTTTTGTTCCACCTCATGTACCACATGTGATGCGAATGACAATAAAGAATCTTGATATTTGGAAAAAGTACAAAAATATTCACCAACTACTACACAAATCCAAGTGTGCAAACTGATGAAAAGTTTTGTAGTCAGGCAACATGGAAGTAATTTACTGCATACACTCCAGTTGTCTGGAAATTCAAAACTAAAACAAATAAATTCCCAATTTAGACATCCTCTCCTGGATTTAGCCATAAGATCCATCAGCATCATGGGATATGTAAGGCATTGTAAGAATAATGTTGATGTTATGTACATCAGTCTGGTCACAGTCAGGTTGGGGTAGACCAGACCCCCTCACTTCATCCTCACTTTCCATCTTCTTCTGACTCCTCACATTTTGGCTGAAAACAGATGAACACACTTGCTGCTGTTTCATAGTGCCTACAAGTTACAAGGTGTGCTTCCAGTTCAACCCATATGTGTTGACACACCTGGTGGATTTGTTGGACCAGCTGGATCTTTGGTGGGGTCATTTAAAAAGTCAGGGATTTAAAATAGCAAGTGACTTCATGATCTTTTTCTGTTGCTAAAGCAGACAGATGGTCAAGGTCAAGGTTTTATTTGTCATTCGCATCACATGTGGTACATGTGGTGGAAAAAATAGTGTACACAGGGTCCCAGGTACATCCAATAAAAGTATAAATAAATAAAAAAACAGTAATAATATCTAAGATATGAACTAATACACTAAACACTAAATAGTACAAAAAAATATGCTGAACAACAGCAGCACGAACATGAATAGTGTGAGTAGATGAGTACGAATGAACACAGCAGCATGAAATAAATCAGCAGCATGGATAATCAGCAGCATATATCAACAATCAAGTGGCATTACTTTGTTTTGTTCACAGTGATTATTCTGATTAGAGATTCATGAGTCTAACAGCCTCAGGATAGAAGCTGTTCCTCAGTCTAGTGGTTCTACACTTAATGCTTCTCAACCTCCTTCCTGAGGGGAGTGGGGCAAAAAGTGTGTGTGCTGGGTGAGTGGGGTCCTTCATGATGCAGGTGGCCCTCTTCCTGTATCTGGAGGTGTAGATGTCTGTGATGGTGGGAGACTGACTCCAACATCTTCTGTGCAGCCTTCACCACTCTCTGCAAAGCTTTTCTTTCTGCAGCTGTGCAGCCTCCATGCCACACGTTGATGCTGGAGCACAGGATGCTCTCCACTTCACACCTGTAGAAGGAGGTGAGGACTGAGCTTCCCAGACCAGCTCGTCTCAGCCGTCTGAGGAAGTAGAGTCTCTGATGAGCTTTCTTGATCAGGCTGGTGGTGTTGTTGCTCCAGCTGAGGTTGTTGTTCAGGTGCACACCCAAGTACTTGTAGCTGGAGACCACTTCCACCACAGATCTTTGTTTGGGCAGGGTCTGGGCGTAGGTGTGTTTGTTCCGTATGAAATGCCCAATCATATCTTTTGTCTTCTTCACATTGAAGTGAAGGTTGTTCTTCCTGCACCAGCTCTCCAGGTGTTCCACCTCTTGCCTGTAGCTGGGCTCATTGTTTGTGATGCATCCCACCACCGCTGTATCATCTGCAAACTTTACAATGTGACAGCCTGGATGGGTAGCTGCACAATCATACGTGAGCAGAGTGAATAGGAGGGGGCTCAACACACATCCCTGAGGGGAGCCAGTGCTGAGGGTTATGGTGGATGAGGAGAAGTCTATTTCCTTGGCTTGGATTTTGACCCAGGTGTCATCCACATATCGGAACCAATGGCTTGGCGTTGTTCCCTCAAAGGAGTTTAGAGCTCTCTGTTCCACTTCCTCCATGTAGAGATTGGCGTAGATAGAAGCGTTCACCAGACACATCAACTCGGTCGATAACAACATCAAGTTCACCAGAGAAGATGGAAACGACAACAAGCTGCCTTTTTTGGACTGTTTGGTTCAGATGGAGAGAGAGGACAGCCTCAACATTGAAGTGTACAGGAAACCAACCCACACAGACCAGTATCTTCTGTTTGACTCCCACCATCCACTGGAACACAAACTCTCTGTCATCAGAACTTTACAACATCGGGCCGAATGCGTCCCCACAAAGACAGAAGGGAAGGAAAAGGAACAGAAACACATTCAAGAAGCTCTTCAAACATGTGGATATCCTAACTGGACTTTTGTCAAGTCAGCGAGGAAATCTACAAAACACACTAATAAACAGAAAAAGGAGAACAACAGACGGAAAAACATTGTCATCCCTTATGTTGCTGGAGTATCAGAGAAATTCAGAAGGATTTTCAACAAACACAAGATCCCAGTACATTTCAAACCCAGCAAGACTCTCAGACAGAGGCTGGTCCACCCTAAAGACAAAACGTTGGTTACGTACTGTAACCCCAGATTCTATGAGTATAAGCGTAGCCCTTTAAGGCTGTCGCTGATGGGTTTATCCCGATATGCGAAGCTTATACGAAATAGAACACCCATACACAAACAGAGTGGTGTAGTGTATGCGGTCCAGCGCAGCGAGGACTGTCTAGACCTCTACATTGGAGAAACTAAACAGCCTCTTCACAGACGCATGGCTCAACACAGGAGAGCTACTTCCTCTGGACAAGATTCAGCTGTTCACCTCCACCTCACAGAGAAGGGACACTCTTTTGAGGACCAAAATGTGCACATTTTGGACCGAGAGGACAGATGGTTTGAGAGGGGAGTGAAGGAGGCAATTTATGTAAAATGAGAAAAGCCGTCTCTTAACAGAGGAGGAGGCCTCAGATTTCCACTTTCTAAAACCTATAATGCAACTTTAAGAAAGATTCCCAGACGGTTTCACACCTGATGGGAACAGAGGGGCCTTGTCTGTGAATTAAGAGGAACAAGAGACTCTTAGCCCCCAGTACAGTTCCGTGTACATCCGTTCACGCGTACGTACACGTGTACTGTACGCAGAGGGTTCAGACTTCATACTCCAGCGTCCACCCCGAGCAGCTGCAGAGCAGCTTCACAGACAAGGGGCGTTTACCTTCGGGACAAATTGAGGTCGCTGACTGGTCATTTGCTGACACGCCTACTGGATTGATTGACAGGTCGGGGGAAAAAAACGAGCGCTGGCAGCCTCAGCGGTGTTCTGTGTTTATATGTTGTTAATAAAAATATCTAAAAAAACAAACAAAAAACAGAGCGCTGGCTCTACAGCCCACACATCAGACCAGCACACCAGGAAATCTCCAGACCCTCCCGCAGCCACGCTGGACCTGAGTTTAATTCGCTCGTGACAAATTCCTCCATTTCTCACCATTTCAGTCATGGCATCAACGGAGGAGGAAAAGATCACTGCCTCTTGGCAAAAAACAAAACAAAAGAAAAGGCCAGATCAGAGATGAAGAAGGGGAATTTAATACATTGGTGTCGCATACAAAACAGTCCGTTGCTGGGCAGTTTATTGTGCGACACCGCGTACGCGTATGTAAAAATTTAGCTTTGCACGGACATGCCCTGGGGGGTACGCACGTACCTCTGCTTACATACGTGCGTACCTCTGCGTATGGACGTACGCGGCAGTATACTGGGGGCTTTACTGTTTAGGTGTGAATTGCCAATCTACATATGTGTGTGTGTCTTATCTCTCTCAGCATTATAACCTGTATCTCTCACTCTCTGCTCTTTGAATTGAGAAAGCTCCTCGGATTAGAAGCGAAACGTCTTCTGTTACAAATAAAGTCCAGTTGTTTTTGTATTGAACGCTTTTTTGAATTCATCATGTCCTGGATGACTGAGAATATTCACCAGCCTCTTGAAAGTACTCCTTACTTCGGCTGAGGTCACTCTGAGGAACTCTTCATCCAGTGGTGAGGCGAGTCTGGTGCTGGGTGGTCTGTTCGGGTCTTCAAAGTGTGCGTAGAACTTGTTGAGATGGGTTTAGCATTTTAAAAAATAAAACTGAAGCTGACATTGTGTCTATAGTTGTGCTAATCTGGGCTGGTGTTTAGCTCCTTTAGCTAAGGAGCTGCCAGCTGTTTGTCTGTAAACAATCATTATAAAACACAAAGTACACATAAACAGAAGCTAAACTTTAACATAAACTCAGTTTCTGTAATCATCACCAGCAAGTCCTCAGTAACATGAGACAAACTTCACATGTGAACAAAACTTCGACTCACATGAGCTTCAAAACTTATTTATTACCTCAGAATAACAAAATGCTGCTAAACCATCAAATATTTGTCTAACCTAATAAAACACAAAATGTATAGAATTAAAAGGTTTGGCTAAATAAGAATATTTTGGTATTATTAGTAAGAACACTAAACAGTTTTGGTATAAAATATCTAACATGGAGTTACTTCACATTTATTACAACAAAATGTATGACAGGAAAGTACTTTAAGTTTTGACTTAAATAGAGAACATCAGAAAAATATACAAATTTATTTCAGTTTATTATGTTTTTCTATTACTGTGAGAAGCAAACACGCATTCCTGCGTGTGTGTGTGTGTGTGTGTCTAACTCCTGTTGTTCTGAACTGACTCGATGAGGGTCTTGTTGTACTCGGCAACTTGTTGGTAGACTTTCTTGGCAACTGAGGCATAGTTGCTCTCCTGAGTCTTGGAAGAGATGACTGAAACAGCAGTTAAAGATATTTAATACTTTACTATATCTCACCTAGGAACTATTTCACCTGTCAGTCTAACATGCATGTTTTTGGTCAGTGGGAAGAAACCAGAGTACTTGGAAAAAACCCATGCAGCATGGAGAGAACATGCAAACTCCAACCAGAAAGGCCTCTGGCCAGGATTTGATCTAGCGACCTTCTCGCTGAGAGACGGCAGCTCTACCAACTGCGCCACCGTGCCATCCTATGGCTTTGCAGATGATGTATTTAAAAAAAAATCTATGAATGAAGGGACGTCCTTACTGACAATTTAGTCTGAAGCTGAACTCATAACCTGCTCTGAAGCAGGTTATGAGTTCAGCCTCTGTTACCATGGTAACCAAGTCAGATGCTCTCCTTTAGCACACTAAAATCTCTGACTTTCAGCTTACCAGAGACAGCTAAGATGGACATCCTGCTTCATAGTACAGCCCTGTTAAGTAAACAAGTTTGTTTTGTCACTAAAATGTAAAATCTCAGAACTGAACGAGTGTTTGTAGTTTTATCATGACGTGTTTACATCTGTATCAATACTTCAATCTGTCATTCACATCCCTGAAACTCTAGGGCTGTTAATAGACTAATATAAGATTAAAATATGTACAAAGAAAACAATTTCTGAAAACAAATCAGTTATTTTTTTTGTATATAAAACCTATAAAAGCTTAGATTTGCTCATGTAAGATTTGTACATAATAAATGTGAAAAGACACATTATAAAAGTTATAGAAAACTAATGTTCCTGTGAAATGTGGTGCAGGTAAACCATTAGCTGACAGGTCAGAGTTCTGAAGGATACATTCTCTCATCACAAAGATGTTCTGCTCCAAGTGCTGCCATTTCCTCTCCAGGTTTGCCAGCTAAAGCCCACAGAACCAGACAGAAACAACAACAACATATGAGTGACACGTTCCTTACATCTCGGTGAAGCCCGTTTTAAAATTATAGTGTGGCAGTCAGACAGCAGTGACAGAAACATGACGGCATGATTCTTATATTTCAAAATAAACTGTGCTGAGAACGTTACTGCAGTCTTTACAGACTGTAAACTGCTCTAACCTGAGCGTAAGTCTCGTTTTCCTCCAGTTTGGTCTTCAGAGCTTCATATTTCTGGTTCTTCTCCTCCAGTAGCTGCTTGAATGAATCTCTTTGCTGAGTCAGTGACGTTCGGCCCCCCGTCAGTTTCTGCATCCAGAGGATAATTACAATCTAAGTCAATTCTGAATGAAATGTCAGCAGGAGCTCATGTGTGGTACCTTCTTCTTGTCCTCAGCGGAGTGCCTCAGGGTGTCCAGGTCTCTGTAGGTGAGCAGATCTGACTCCATGGTGCTGATCTGCTCCTTCAGGGTGGTGAGCTCACATGTTATCTTTCCCTCCAGCTGCTGCACCTTCTCCAGGTCCTGCTGCAGACGCAGTGACTCTGGATGGCGAGGAACAAAATCAACCATTAAGCAACTTGATTTTGTTCTGACTCACTGGGTGTTACATGATCTGCATCCCTTCACCTCTCCTCTGTAACTCTGTGCTTGTTTGGTTGTGGAAGAGGCAGAGAGTGGTACTGACCTGTTGTTAGTCCTTTGCTGGTGCTTTCTGATTGGACCACCTCTGTCTCTTTGCTGAGCAGCACTTCCTGCATGTTCCTCAGCTCGCTGGCAGTCACTGTATCCATTTGATGCAGCCGCAGCATGTTCTGTGCCAAAATACACACTACATAAACACACACTATCGTGTTCAGTTTTTATCCTTCAGGATCTTTTTGTAAGTCTTGGAAAATACTAAACCCCCCCCCCCCCCCCCCAAAGTTCTAGGGTTTTTACTTATAATAAAATAATATAAACAATAATAATAAAAATAATATAATTTACCTACATAATAAAAAGTGATCTGATCTTCACAAAGTTCTAACAATCTACCCTGAAGTGAACAGAAAGACGAGAGATTCCACTGAGGGAAGTGCACTCCATGACTGAACAGCTTGGAGCTCGTTTAGCAGCAATAACCTGAAACGGTCATTTTAAATATCTACAGGCAGGAGGTGGAACACCTGGAGAGCTGGAGCAGGAAGAACAACCTCAACATCAATGTGAAGAAGATGGAGATGATTGTGGACTTCAGAAGGACCCCCCCCCCCCCCCCCCAACATAGAAGGATCTGTGGTGGAAGTGGTCTCCAGCTACAAGTACTTGGGTGTGCACCTGAACAACAACCACAGCTGGAGCAACAACACCACCAGCCTGATGAAGAAAGCTCATCAGAGACTCTACTTCATATGTGTCAAACTCAAGGCCCGGGGATCAAATGTGGCCCTCGATGACATCTTACCTGGTCCCCAAGATGTTATTTTAAATGTAAAATATTTTTATCACTTTTAATTTTTTTTAGAAATCTTTGATTATGTAAGTGAGTTTGACACCTCTGTGAGTCTACTTCCTCAGGCGGCTGAGACGAGCTGGTCTGGAAGCTCAGTCCTCACCTCCTTCTACAGGTGTGCAGTGGAGAGCATCCTGTGCTCCAGCATCAATGTGTGGCATGGAGGCTGCACAGCTGCAGAAAGAAAAGCTTTGCAGAGAGTGGTGAAGGCTGCACAGAAGATGTTGGAGTCAGTCACCCCACCATCACAGACATCTACACCTCCAGATGCAGGAAGAGGGCCACCTGCATCATGAAGGACCCCACTCACCCAGCACACACACTTTTTGCCCCACTCCCCTCAGGAAGGAGGTTAAGGAGCATTAAGTGTAGAACCACTAGACTGAGGAACAGCTTCTACCCTGAAGCTGTTAGACTCATGAATCTCTAATCAGAATAATCACTGTGAAAAAAATCACATCATGTTGCTGCTGATCTGTTTCATGTTGATGTGCTCATGCGTGCTCATCTGCTCACAGACTCATGTTCATGTTTGTGCTGATGTTCAATGTTTTATGTTATGAGTGCTTAGTGTATATTTAGTTGATGTTTTTCTTAGTTCATATCTTAGATGTTATCATTGTTTTTCTTTTACATTTTATTGTTGGATGTAACTGGGACCCTGTGTACATAATTTCGCTCCACCACACGTACCACATGAGGTGCGAATGACAAAGAATCTCTGACTCTGAAATGGTTTAAATCATATCTATCTGATAGATTCCAGTTTGTAAATGTAAATAATACATTTTCTTCATACACCAAAGTTAGTTGTGGAGCTCCTCAGGGCTCAGTGCTTGGGCCAATACTCTTTACTTTATATATGTTTCCATTAGGAAATATTATTAAACAGCATGGGATAAATTTTCATTGTTATGCATGACACACATAAACCAGCCACTAGGGAGCACAAGCCAGTGTATCTCTTGTGCCGGTCCCAAGAACGGGTAAATGGTGAGGGTTGTGTCAGGAATGGCATCCGATGTAAAACACTTCTGCCAAAACAATAATGCGAGTTCATCAAAGTGAAACCATACCGGATCGGTCGAGGCCCGGGTTAACAACGACCGCCATTGGTGCTGTTGACAAAAAGGGTGCCGGCGGAAATTGTGCTACTGCTAGTCGAAGACCACGAGGAGGGAAACGTGTCAGGAGACAGAAGGAGAAGAGGAAAGTGAAGAATGTAGGACTGAGGGTTGCAACTCTAAATGTGGGGACAATGACAGGCAAAGGTAGAGAGCTGGCTGACATGATGCAGAGAAGGAAGGTAGATGTTTTATGTGTCCAAGAGACCAAGTGGAAGGGCAGCAAGGCTCGCAGCATTGTAGCAGGGTTTAAACTGTTTTACCATGGTGTGGATAGAAAGAGAAATGGAGTAGGGGTGGTCCTAAAGGAGGAGTTGGAAAATAATGTAGTAGAGGTGAAGAGAGTGTCAGATAGGGTGATGTGAATGAAGGTAGAAGTAGGTCTGATGATAAACATCGTTAGTGGTTATGCTCTACAGGTTGGATGTGATGAGGAGGAGAAAGATACATTTTGGAAGGATCTGGATGAAGTGATAGTATTCCCAGGGAGGAGAGAGTGGTGATCGGAGCAGACCTGAAAGGACATGTTGGTGAAGGA